ACACACACACACACACATATTATTATATACTTATATATATATATATATATATATATATACATGTATATGCATATGTATATATATATATATATTTGTGTGTATAGGTATATGTGGATATATATGTATATATGCATATATATATTATATGTATATATGCATATATATATATATGTATATATTTATGTACATAATATATATATATATATATACATACATTTACGTCTATACATATTAATATATATATATATATGTATGTATGTTTGTATATGCATACGTATATATTTACGTATATATTTGATGTATGTATATGTTTTAATGCAAGTGTATATATCTACTGGTATTTACTGATATCTCCCAACGCATCGGTGAATAAAATACATACAATGAATTGAGTATCGCATCATGTTTCAACATGTCATCAGAAAGCTTGTACGAACATACATGAATTACATGCCTATACACATTCATTCTTGAGAGTTCTCCTACCATATTGTCGATGATTGTTCTACGTACTTGTACGCTATATTCGTATGCAAGATTTATAGAATACGGAAGGTGTATCATAACATATTCCGGCAGAACCGTATTCTCCATAACCTTGTTCTCAGTTGTGTGATAACGCATTGTCTACAAACTATATAAACGTATAAATGTGTTTATTTAACGAATATGTGTATGTATGGGTATATTTCATGAATATGGCATATATATATATATATATCTGTATATATATTATATATTCAAATAGCAATTATATCTGCGTTGGTCTGATCTCCTTATACTTTACCTAGATGCGCAATGGTACCTCGTCGCACATATATACAATATCGGTATACTCAATCAACGTCTACGATGGCCTGGTGCCATCAATATATTCTTCTTGTGAGAATCAATTAACACCCTTATGCATAATCAATAGGATCTTCGTTTGCCTGTTGTCTTTGCGGTATACACGCGTATAAAGTATACGGCACTTGGTCACGAATATTTTGCAATCCGTTTTGTAGTATGGTCATTCTAACCATGACCAATCTCGCCTATTTCCCACAGCTTTCTATCTGCATGCACTTGTACGGCTTTGCGCTGTCACTGTTCTGCTACATCAAGGCGTTTGTCGCACCCACCCACGCCGGCGATGTCAAAACATCGGACTCTATGGTGTTCAACTTCTTTATGGGTGTTGAATTCAACCCCAGAATCGGCTCACTAGACTTTAAGGTACGCTACGCTATGGCTGGGATGAGTGGTTGTTAACATGCGAGTGACGGAACACACTGACTAAATTACGGCCCACGAGAATGATTGTGCATTGTATTGTGTCATATTCCGTGGTGTTCGCTGTTTTGTGTTGTGTTGGTTGAATTTGAATTTATATCCAGAATCGGCTCATTAAGATTTTTCTTTTATATTCACCCACCTGTCTTACAGCTGTTCCACAACGGACGCATTGGAATCATTCTCTGGACACTCGTGAACATCTCCTGTGCCGCAGCCCAGTACGAACGCCACGGCGACATAACCAACTCCATGATCATGGTCAACATTGGTCATGCCGTGTATGTGCTCGACTTCTTCTTCAACGAGGATTGGTACCTGCGCACCATTGACATATGCCACGACCACTTTGGGTTCTACCTGGCCTGGGGAGATGCCGTGTGGCTACCCATTATGTATGCGCTACAGGTATGTATTGACTTCTGTGGCCAGTTGTAGAGCGGGATGTATCAATCTTAATACATTGCCTACATTTTCTTCATGCAACGCTGACTAGAGCTATTTTTTATTTTTTATTTTTTTACACAACGCTTGTTAGAGCCCCTTCATGGTGACGCACCCGCACGAATTGAACACCAACGAGGTGGTGGTTATTTCGGCTTTCTTCTGTCTCGGTATGATTTTGGAATGCACAAAGTTCATATAGATGTATATATATATTTATATATATTATATATTCTATTCTATTCTATTCTATTCTATTATCTCAAATATATATATAGTATATATATATATATGCCATAAATATGCCATATATACATATATATATAAATATATGCCATATATATATATATATATATTTATATATATAAACTGATAATATAGGCATACATGTATTGTATAGATGTACATATAGTTTTATATATGTTGGTTATATTTTTCTCGCCTTTAGTACACCTCTCGCTTTGCACATATCGCGTAGCGTACATAGTCCCCAGACACGCACCAAATATATGACTCTTCTTTATACCATGACCTATAACGGTCATGGCTGAAGACGCGATTCAGTTCATATTTCTTGTGCAGTGCCATCCGATACCATAATTTTGCTGCCTCAAAAGTTTTGAAACTCACCTATGTCTGAATGCAATTGAGAAGGTATCGGATTTGTGAGGCTCAAGGGGTTTAGCAAGTTATTGTAACATGGGAGAGCCATGCAGTTTAATTACCAATTTTAGTATCTCCCGATGCTTAAACAGTACGCGAATACGTTCTATCCTGCCGATCTGTGTGCCCTCTGTGATATATCGTAGCCTGAAGTGCTGTACGGTTTGCTCTTGATTATGAATCGACCCGATGTTTTAGGAGTACACAAACCCTTTTTCTATCCTGCCGATTTGTGTGCTATCCGTATTATGTACTGTTCAGAATACACTAAGTATATCAATACTACCTCTCATGCATTGTTCCCCTACTAACATCAGAATATGCGTCTTATTCGTCCTATATATTCGTGAGTATGTTTTTCATAGTCCCAAAAAGCGGTTTTTAAGCAATCTCGTGCACTTTGTACCCAAATCAGGATACTACATCTTCAGAGATGTGAACCATCAGAAGGATATCTTCCGATCATCCAATGGCAAAGCGCTCATCTGGGGCAAGAAAGCCACCTACATAGATGCCACATATGTGACAGCCGATGGAAGCACACGCAACAGGTAAATATGTGTATTTTTGAATATTGTATCGTATATATATATATATATATCATATACATATACATATATATGTATATATATATACGTATATATATATATATATATATATATATACTTACGTTACGTTTAGTTATATATATTTATTAGTTT